AGTGAAACATTTTCGTCATTTTGTGGAAGGTCGTGACTTCATCATCTTTACCGACCATAAACCTCTGACGTATGCCTTACACACCACTACTGACAGATATTCACCGCGTGAATTACGTCACCTAGATTATATTTCGCAATTCACGTCGGACATCCGTCATATTTCTGGTGCGAATAACCCTGTCGCGGACGCACTGTCTCGCGTTTGCACCACTACTTTGCCTCGAGCAGTCGACTTACGGAAGATTGCCGAACTTCAGGATTCAGACGAGGAGATTGAAAAACTTCAACACTCATCCTCTCTGAAGATACAGCGTTTACCGCTCCTGAACAGTGAAGTGTCAATATTGTGCGACACCTCCACAGGCACACCCAGACCGGTTGTTCCTTTACCCTTGCGTAAGCATGTTTTTGATGCTTTGCACAATCTTTCACATCCTGGCATCCGTGCCACTGACAAACTCATATCTGCTAGGTTTGTTTGGCCTGGTATTAACCGTGATGTTCGAAACTGGACACGGTCATGTATTCAGTGCCAACGTTCCAAGGTGAATCGTCACAACATCCCACCACTTGGAACTTTCGCCAAACCTGACTCACGATTCGCTCATGTCCACTTAGACATTGTCGGCCCACTTCCACCCTCCGATGGATATAGTTACCTACTGACATGTGTCGATAGGTTTACTCGCTGGCCGTTAGCCATCCCATTGTCTAACATTACTGCCGAAACAGTAAGTCGGGTCTTCGTCGAAGGATGGGTTTCACAGTTTGGATGCCCTTCCACCGTGACAACCGACAGAGGCCAACAGTTCGAATCCGCTACCTTCCAGAAGCTGATGAATCTGTTGGGATGCAAACGCATCCGCACTACCGCATATCATCCAGCTTCCAATGGTTTGGTGGAGCGATTCCACCGACACCTTAAGAGCGCACTAATGGCAGTCGACAATATGAAATGGACTGAGTCTCTGCCGTTGGTTCTTCTCAGCATCCGTTCTACACTCAAGACGGATATACAGTGTACACCTGCTGAGTTAGTTTACGGTAGTAACTTACGTTTGCCGGGTGAGATGGTCGCTTCAGATTGTAGTGACCCAACTCCTACCGATATCCATGGCTATGCTCAAACTCTTAAGTTACACATGCGTCGCCTCCAACCCCATCCACACGGATACAGTGTAGACGGGTGCAGTTGGATAAAAGACTCCAAGATTGCACTCACGTCTTTGTGCGTTGTGACGGTGTACGTAAACCCTTACAGCCACCATACGACGGACCTTTCAAGGTTCTCAGTAAGAAAGAAAAGTTTTTCGTCATTGACAGATCTGGACGGCAGGATTCTATAAGTGTCGATCGTTTGAAGGCAGCTTATATAGAGGACGACCCACCTTCCTCTACACCGACACAACTAGAAAAACCCTTGCCGCCAGACTCCCAAACAGACTCGTTTAGTCGCGCGTACCCTGAACCTTCTAAAAGAGCCACGTCTAGTAACACTGATCCAGTAACCTCTACACGTGCTGGGAGGCGTGTACATTGGCCCAAGCGATACGCCGATTTCGTTAATTAGCCCCAGAGCAACTTCACACTTGGTGAATTCGGAGTTTCAACTACTTTGTCGTGGCATACACTATCAATGCGTTTTCATATCTAAAGTTTTCACAAGTCTTGTTCACTACTTTGCAAACAGTTTTTTTTAAAAACAAAAAAAAAAAAAAAACCAAAAATACAATTTAAATTCCAAAAACTTTTTTTGGTTGGTTATTTTTTTTTCTGTACTCCCACTTCGAATTGTTTGGTTTTTCTTTTCTTAGCACTCTAATGTCCTATTTCTTTCTTCTTGCAGAACCTAGAAAATGCGTTGAAAATTGGATACAATTGGCCGCTGACGATGCTACTTGGATCGTTCTTCGGTTCTCTTTGTACCAATTTCCCCCTGTACACTCCCCGGTAGATTAAGAAGCAATAGGGAAAAGTAGACGGAGGCTTTGGGTCACCTTCCACCACTGCGAGAAGGGTTGCGTCTAGACGCAAAGTTCTCTTACCTCGTAGGTGTGCATAGTTGCACTAGCTTCGGAGACCCACACGTCACCTACTCCATCACCAATATGGAAAGGTGTTGCGTGTCCGCCTCGCAGTCGCCTCCTAGGATCGAAGGTTGCCGGTATCCCAACAACCTTCTAGGAGGGGGATAACCTGTAGTGCACCTTCCTGGCACCAAAATATAACTAGGGCTAAAATAAATAGTTTAAATTAAATTAACTAAATAAATCTCTAGCTTGCCTCCGGATGCTTAGGGTGTTTTAAGTTTTGTTTTAACGAGCATGCATCCGAGCAGGCTTGGACGCCATTTTGCGCTCCATTGTGCTGATTACCACGCACGTACTCCGAGTCCCTAGTTCAGCCTTACAAGCCAGATAAGTTGATTAAACTTTTCCCTCATTCATTATTATTACATTTACTTTAATTAAATACATTGCGTATCAGTTCTTTTGATTTGTGTTTTGTTATCAGTACTTACACGTTAGGTAAAGTACTGGTTAAGCAGGTACTAGAGCACATCAAGTTAAGTAGGGTTGATCAAACGTTACGGAATTGTGACACGCACCCCTACAAACTGATCTGGGTTTATTCGACTCTCCAAGAAGGTGAACTTGGCAACTCATTCTCTGTCATTTCACTCCTTATCCTTAAACTGAGAATAGTCGCAGACCAGCTAAGAACCATCACCTCACATTTGAAAGGTGCGAAACAAGTGCAAACGTAGACAAATGTCTGCTCAAGGCGTTCAAGAGTCACTCCATATTTTTAGTCTTCATCCAACAGGATAATGTAACCTGAGTACTCCAAGTCAACTAAATAACCCCAAGAGAGGAATTCAATCCCCATGAAGTCAGACTTATCTAGGGGTTAATTTCCAATAACACATTTCTGATGAAAGCTAGCAGGATGTCTCTTTGCCGAACACTGCTATTCAAATGAAAACTCTTCATAACCCTTACACTGCTGTGTGAGAGTTTTGATTAGGTATACACCTATTGGGTATTCCCTGCATAATCAGACGCTCCCACAGCATATAGTCGAATACCATCTGCAAATATAGTAAATTTCAGCCGTTGGCAGGAAATCATGCCTGTGTTCCGGAACATGTCTGAATGTTAAAATATGATTGATAAACCCTCATCCAAGTGTGGAATCTACCTGATTTTCTCAAGCCCCGGTTCGACGTCGGATACCTACGGACCCAATGTTGGAGACAGCTTTGTTCAAACTGATTCCCCTATGGTTGTTACAAAAGGAATTTTTTCCCTTCTTATAGACTGGAATGATCAGTGACGTACACCAGCCTGACGGGACCACCTCTGATTCTCATATACTACCAAGTACCTCGGTTACCATAACTCCTACCTCCATCGCGAAAAACTTCTGGTGACAAACAATTAGGTCCTGCCGTTTCCCATCGTTTCAGGTTTGAAATATCCTTCTCAACTTCGAGGAGAGTTGGCGTACGACCGGTAGCCACCTCCCATTCAGGTTCGGTTAGGAGACTGAGCAACCAAAGTTACTACAGGCGATTTAAACTATGCTTCAACGCGTTCGACCCAGCCGCCTATTCTGAGAAGCTATCAGGGTCCCATCCTATTCGGTGATGTGTTCATTAACTATCGTCATCATCTTGTAACTATCACCAACAAACCTAAATAATCGCTATTACCTAATGTTGTCTCCATCTCTTCCGCTTTCACCACTTTCTGCTGCTTGCGATCTTTGAGAAAGCTTTTGGTCAACTTACGCTTAAGTTGCTTCCGCTCTGGGTCGTGGCCAGAGCCAGCTAGAAGGTATTTTTTTTTACTAATCAGTCAGGATGAGGTAGCGGAAATCCGCTGACTTCTCATCACCGTTGAATGTGAGTCACCAACTGTTTCCATAGCAAACTATGTATCAGGCCGGGCTTCACCAGGACGAGAACTGCAGTAATGTCCAGACAAATTCTTAGCTATCTCTTGCCTAAATTAAACACTGGAAGTTCTCATCTTCCAACTGAAAACACATTTCACTGCTCCGGTAAGCATACACGTGCCTGTACTTGCGTGTGATCGGAGTCCAAACTAGTATTCCAGAAAGAGCGGTAAACCCCTGCCGATTCTTTCGAGCCTATAGCGATATGATCTGCGTCCATCGTTGGTTTGATGTGGGCACACGCCAAGTGAAGAAATCTCTGCTCTTATTCCTGAAGGTAGTGCTGGCCAGAAACAAGCGTTTGTCAGGACAAAGTTGCCATTTCATTAGTAAGAGTTTTCGACTGACCCAGTTCCCTTATCTTAGCGTTGAAGTCACTTGATATTATGATTATATCTGAACAATCTAACTTATGCAGCAAACGTGATAGCTTTTGATAGAACTCATCCTTTACATCATCCAAGCTGGAGTTAGTGGATGCAAACAGTTTTAGAACAGGCATCAACAAGTGCCCCAATCCTTTTCAGTTATTATAGATCCATTCCGCCAGACTGCCCAGAGACCGCTGTTGACTGGTATCCAGTTGAGACGTACGCTTTCTGCTTGTCAACTCAGTGTAACACTTACATCACTGAGCCCACAGGAGCTAGCCACTGAATCTCCAGACAATCGCATATTCATCACGTTGACCAGATGATAACTTGCGATTTATGCCTACTGACTAGATAGTGTACACCACAATCTCCCGAACATAACCAAACTCAGCCGCGAGATTCTAAGATACGATACATCCTGTGGAGTAAGGGTCACTGGTAATAGTCAGATCGCTGTCAACGCGCATACGAGAACATATTCCACCCTGGTTTTTCTAAGGGTGGAAGGAATTGCACTAGAAGTCCTGTCCTTGAACATCTAGTCGATTCCATCCATTCAACTGACCCAATCATTTTAAGGTTGTCTATCAGAGTCGTTTAAACGTCTCACGCTACCTCCGTCTTCAACTTCTAAAGACAGCAGAGGCCTTGGTCATCCATGAACCGCAGCTTGATCTTTGTATCCAAAAGTAGGTAGTCTTTGTCTTAACTTATTTTGGTAGGTTTGTTTTCTTTCATTTTTTGTTTTTCCAACTTGCCCCTTTATTAGACTAATCTTTATACTCTAATGTCGTCATTATTCTTATTTCTATATTAAGTAGCTTCCGGTATTACTTCAGTTATTCTTCCCAATGATCGCAACTTTCAACAAAACATTTTCAAATTATTCCAACCAACTTGTCTCATTCATATTACCTAATCCTTTGATTGTCAATTAACTTTACCATGTTTACACTCCTTTGTAATCTCTATGGGCCTTGTTTGTAAACGAGTTCAAAGATCTTACGTAACCCCTTTTTTTATCATTAAGCCTTTACGCCACGTACAGCTTGAGAGTTGATCCGTTGAAAAGAGTCCTCTTCGTTTAATACCTTGTTTTAATGTCACAATGGGAACTATGAGTTCACCACACAGGTTTCATATCTACGTGCTCCCACTAAGACCTTGGAGTTTTACCTTGCTTATATTGACCACGGGTGAAACTAAAGTATTCAAAGCGGGAAGATTGCGGCGGCAGAACATTAGTCAGTTCCCAAATCACTGGCGAAAAGTGAACCAACAATTTTTATGATGTGCCCAAGTTACCTTATTCGGTGCGGACATGAAGTGTTGCAGTTCAAATCAAGTGGATATGTTGCATGACCAGACAAGTTGACATAGTTTGGTACTTGTTCTGACAAAACACCACGTACTTCAATGAGTAATTCCATTTTTCCTCCAGAAGTGAGGTTTATCTACAAAAATGTTCTTTTTCATGGAATAAATAAGCCATTATAATGATGAATCGTGATTGCTCCAGAAGCCAATAAAACCATACTGGTGTTTTAGAAGACTTTCAGCAGTCTGAACATAACTACTCCTATAAATAACTACAATAAATGTTCGCCTAACAGTAGCTGAGTCAACATGTACTCTGATATCTCCAATTTTCGATCGGTTTGCTACTTGATATTAGTGAGGAGATAAAGCACTGTCTACAACATAGAAATAAAAATTTAAGGGTATGGCCTACCTTCTGATTGCATACATGTGCGGAAGGTATCCTGTCCGCTGCAGGAACCCTTTCAGCTGCAGTATCAACACGGTTTGAAATGAGTTAAGATAGATACTATCAACTTCAAGCCGGTCTTAATCCATACAAATTACACTCGGAACAGTTAATCTGATTATTTCGAACAATTGGTATTTAACACGAGAACGAAGTCAACTAATGACATGGAAACTCGTGGACATAATCAATCTGATCCGTATGACAGCACTGCAATTGAACTTAGATCCTAAAAAAAATGATTAAAGAGTCTACTGACTTTTTCGTTAGAGCTCCAAAAAAGGGTGCGACGAACTGACTAACCTTTCTATACTCTATTCAATTAACCGAGGTTATACTTGGAGCACAAGCGTATTACTAGTCCCAATTGGGATTCCAAAACTCCATCATGCTTTGCAATTTTTGAGTCACCACAGCTTCCATTGAATCTCACAATAACTTAATTCAGTTCAAGTAACCGAATATCGTACAATAACAATATCTCCCAACCCACTCGCATAAACATGTATCAGTTTGACAGTCAAAACGATAATCCATGGAAAAGAACTACGACTATGATTAACAACAAAACTTGGAAATTCTGATTGCGTAAACATTCAACCGAAAAACCTACACAGCCTGACTGATCACGAAATCAGTAACAAAGTGTTAGCTATTCTACTTGCGTAAGAGCTTCTAAAGAAGCAGTTAGTCTGATTTTCAGCGTATTTGAGGGATGAAATATATAAAACCAGAGATTCTTCACAGACGTACAGTACCGATACACACAAAAGTACGCTTGACTTCTACATCAACCATAAGCCACAGAGAAGAGAGACAGAATACACGTAGAACCTCACACACAAATACAACGGTTCAAGTTGCTACACTTCACAGTAACATACAAAGAACAGATGCACAGAAAAAAACTGATAACAAAGTTGTGTGAGAGAGAATAAACAATTTGGTGATATCGGTTAGTGCAAATATTCAAGCTCTAAAACATGTCAGCGAGTGAATACATCTGTCCCATTGTAACCGATTTCCAGCCATTTCACCAGGTATTCTCAACCACTGATTCCTTTCATCTCGAAAACCCCAACCAGGTAGTCTACATCTCCCAACACGACTCACACCACCAGTCAACGACTTCATCCACTGGTACCATGTTTCAGTTTGGCTACGATCAACCCTCCTCAAACCTAATACAACTTCCTTTAGCATAAAACGTCGAGGTGGACGGTGACTCGACATGCGGCGCACAGTACATGTCCATGCCACCTCAGTCGATGAAGGCTCACAATCTCACTAATCCACTCACCTGTCTTGTCTAGTACTCTTTGTCTGACCTCAACACTCCTCACACGCTGATTCCACATTACTCAAGCAATGCTACGAAGACGTCTGTGATTAAAACCCTATAACCGCTTCGTATCTTCTACTTTTAACGGCCATGTCTCGCAGTCGTACAACAGGACGGAACAAACTGTAGCGCAGTATACTCGTTTTTGATAGTCGGATCTATCGCCAGCCCCAAAGATGGCGTGAAGGTCGATTCGGGAGCAAAACATTAAAACACAGTTGGAAGCATGGTCATTCCTGTTTACGATTGGAATATCAACACTGCGCAAAATCTTTTGTGAAAGTAACGGAAATGAACTACTTCACAAGTCTACTTACACGTGAGATACGAAGAGGTTTTTGAATAACCGTTAAGACGAAAATACGGCTTAATTAGCATTATTCAGCGAAAATAATGAAGTGAAGAGATTTGAAGTAGATCACAGCGGGGCGAAATGCGACGAGATTCTATTCCTGGCTTGTAGATGCTTTCCTAGATAACTTATTGTCATAAACGGTTGTTAGCGAAAGGGACGTCTAGTATGAGGCGATAAGTGTAAGCCAGACGAACAACAACCTTAACGCTACAGATAAGTATACTAGTTAGTACTGACGTTGACTGACTGACTACACCGTAGTTATTAAAAAAATAACTCCGTTTTGCATTGACTGAATGTAACCCACCCCAACGCATATTAGTCGTATCCGATTTAAAGTCAAGATAAGACTGCAAATTTCTTTTTTCAGTAATATTTTACAGTAGGAAAAAATTACATTAGGCAGGAGAGGAAAGCGTCAACGGTTTCAAAACATGTCACAGAATCCTGAGTCCTGGACTGTGTTCATCTTAGGTGTGGAAATAGTTAGACAATACTAAACCTTTAAATGGCTCCACTACCTTACTTAATACAACCAACTAAAAATAAATACCTAGAGACAGGCGTAAAATAGTAACCATTTACACTATATATGATGTGCTTAACTGCCTAAATGAAACATTAAAACTAACAAATGCAAATAGTAGTAGCCAAGAAAGTACTGATATGATAACACAACGCTTATCCTACAACATGAAGAAGCCTTCTAGGGATACACTTACAGAATAAATTAATATACTTCACTGAAATGTATATTTCATGCTAATAAAGAGATGGATTACGGCCACTATAAACATGAGTGATTACCAACATTGAAAAACTAACAAATAGTAAATAAAAGCCGGTTTCATAATGATGATGATATAATGATAATAATAACAATAGTAATAATGATATCAGAAACATGAATGGTTAATGAACAAATGATTGAAGGTTAGGAAACATGATAACATCAACCCGAGACTTAATGAAGCCAGCTTCTCTTATCACACAGAAGTGCAAGATGATACTGCTGGCTACATAAAAGTTGATTAGGTTAGACAAAAAGAACGAGATTTAATATTTACCTTTATATATAAAAAAGAAGCAAGACCACTAACTCATGGAAAATATTAGCATCTATTACAACCATGATAAACATGATAGTTATTTGACCAGGATGAGACACTAATCACCTATATGATGCGTATAGTTAAGCATGAGAGAAAAAATGACTAATTACTTTACTCGCCTATAACAATGACCATCGGAATAAGCTAATCCCCATGAAACATTACTAATGTCAGTTAAAATAATATATAATAATGAAACATGTCGGTTTACTATAATAATCATGCTCTAGCTCCATTCTCAGTAACTTCTGAAGACTTAGACACCACTTTGGAGTTATCAATCATAGGTGATTTAGTGGAGTCAGACTTTGCATTCGCAGAAACTTTTGATTCCAAGTTCTCACAACTTTCAGCTTTTTCTATTTTCGACAGGATATCCAATGTACTTTCTTGTTGCCCATCAACATCATTGGATGTCCTGTCTTCATTTCTTTGACCGTTGACTGCAGATGATCCATGATGTCCAGGTACGATAGGAGGTGCGGGATAACGTATCAGTGAGATACCAGCTCTGTCATCCGATATAGGTTTTGGACTGAAAGCAATTTTCAAATGGAAAGGATGAGCGTATCCAGACAAATGAATCGGTCGATGATTTGCTAGAACTAAAGCCTCCAAGGCTTCAGTTAAAGTATCCCATTCGACTAGCCCTGTTCAAAGTAAGTGAAAATATAACTGTTTACGTTAACTTTAAACTAGAGCATAACTTTAACTTACTGAATAGAATTTATGAGATCCAATAGTGCATAATGGTCTAGAAAATTTAGCTAACTGAATGCGCAAAGCTTTGATACCTGTGGAAATTTCGATGTTCACTGCTGGCCTTGAAGGACAGCGCAAGAAACCATATGTGAACAAGTTGTACTACATCACGTAGTGTTGCCTAGCAGTCGTCTTTTCTTAGCTCTCAATCAGCTCATACTAAATTTTTGTCACTGTATCAAATAATCCTCAATAGGTGCACTAAGCTAGCCGAAGGTATTAAGTAACACTATGTTGAAATCCACACTAATATATCTTCAGTTTTTCTGAATTTTCGAGTTTCCTATAGTCACATGCACATAGCAGGCTGTTCAATACCATGATTTACACTAAACGGTAGTTTACATTACAATCACAATCTGCAGTGTTACGATACATAGTACTGAAATGATGCATATTCGCTTACCAATTTACACCACTTGAATAACAATGATAAATATATTTTAAATTTCACCGAGTAACTGAATAGTTACTATGAATTTAGATGGTGTAATTAGAAGTCAGAGTTTATCTGAACAATGTGATACGTTTGCACAATACATTCCGAACTATCTGGTAACACTTTTTTCAAGTTATCAGTTAACTTCCTGAAGTGTTGCTTCCATTTACTTATCACATGTTACGAATCCCCTAATGAAGTATGATTTGAACAGTCTCTACTGAAACTAAATCGTACACAATTAATTGTTTCGAACCCATACAAATCACGTTCGCTAGCACGCTATACAACAGAAAGATGAAAACACTAAAAAAGTATCAACTACAGTCCCACTCGGCTGCATTCAAAAGACCGAGAATATGCAAGTTCCCGACTGTTTGTAAAAGCTTAGTAGTATGACAATAATAAAGTAACTACAGGACCAAGTGTACTCCACAATGAGCTACAATAATTGCGCTAATGAAACTGTATGGATGCTTGGACTTGGTCAGGTGGAGCAGAGCTGGAACGCGTGGTTAGCAACTGGTCGATCTTTAGCCATTATCTATACTACAACTTCAGTGTGCATCAATGGATAGTATGATTGTTTGTGGATAAGGACGCTCCTGAACACTGTTTAGTTGCTTTCGATAGGAGACTACCGTTGGGACTTTTATGAAACAGCAGGCACCGACTTCTTATTGATATATGTAAGACAATCCTTACTTTTCTATCACAAATGCAAAATCTTTTACTCATATTGAGTCTAAACGCTGAATACTTCTTCAGATTCCCACAACTAAGATGACCTTGTAAACTCCATTTTAATCAGTCACAACTAATACAGAAGCCATCTTTAAAGTTGCTAAGCACCACCTAATCCATTAAAAAGTGAATCAAGTGTAAAATCTCAGTCATACTTAGTTACAACTCACCAAGAGAAGTTTTCTGACCCGCTTTAGTAGTGAATATCACAATGCGAGGAGGAGAAATAGCACCACAATCCGTGAACACTCGAGCGATATCCTCTGGAGTGACATTAAGTGGAGCATTGAAGAAATGAAGTGTCCGAGAAGGCTCTAGGATCCTGCTTTTTGCTGCCACCATCGAATTTCTAAATCGGTTGTTCGGGTCCGCTAAGATTTGGGACAAAAATGCAAAGTTCATTATCTTATAAAAAATAATAATATTAAGAGTATACAACTCAACAACACCAAAATAGTTTTGCATTTCAGAAATAATATTCAACAGTGACCGGATGAACTTACCAAGACACCTCGTATTTACTTTCTAACGCTTGTGCCGGTTCTTTCCGTGATCACAGCTACAAAGTCAGTAAGTATAACCCTGAACATAGCATTATTGCGTAAAGGGTCAAGCTGTCACGCCTGGCACCATCATATCAACGTATAAAGCAACACGACAGAAGATATGGAATTGCCGTGATAAAACGAAGTCAGAAGACGACAAGAAGAGTCAAATGCAAAGACGCAATGAGATTGAAGTGATACCGCTTGAATGCAACTTATTACAGTCAACAATTATCAATGCCCGTCCCGTGTTCTTCAACCATGAGGTCCACACTTTTCAACCGATATGGCCAGCAGTCACCGACTTCATGAACTGATAGAAAACTTTGATTTTATCACAGTAACCAGTCCACAGTTATCAAAAATCAAGACTATACACAATGAAGACGCATTCTCCTATCAGGATGATATCCAAGAATATAAAGAACTAGATGACTGCTCCACATATTACACTCATTTTCACCACACTGACCACATGTAGCACCAATATCCTAAATGTGAAGACAACAGTAATCTGAAGTGTCTCACCTTAGAACCAGAAAACCATAACATTATTTTACGGATGTCCTTATGAAAAAAATAGACTCACCACTGCCTACATGAATTCCCTAAACCAATCAATTAGTTGACCGTTGGACTTTGGATGACATTGCCCTACGCACAAGTGTTGGTTTAGGTATCAGGACAAAAATGTGGTGGCACTGGAAGAATCGTCAAAAAAACCATCGTACCAGATATACAGCATCTCCAAGAACAAAATGAAGAGAAAGCTGGACAATCACTAACTGAAAGACTGGCAAAAACGACGTAGAACCTCACACACAAATACAACGGTTCAAGTTGCTACACTTCACAGTAACATACAAAGAACAGATGCACAGAAAAAAACTGATAACAAAGTTGTGTGAGAGAGAATAAACAATTTGGTGATATCGGTTAGTGCAAATATTCAAGCTCTAAAACATGTCAGCGAGTGAATACATCTGTCCCATTGTAACCGATTTCCAGCCATTTCACCAGGTATTCTCAACCACTGATTCCTTTCATCTCGAAAACCCCAACCAGGTAGTCTACATCTCCCAACACGACTCACACCACCAGTCAACGACTTCATCCACTGGTACCATGTTTCAGTTTGGCTACGATCAACCCTCCTCAAACCTAATACAACTTCCTTTAGCATAAAACGTCGAGGTGGACGGTGACTCGACATGCGGCGCACAGTACATGTCCATGCCACCTCAGTCGATGAAGGCTCACAATCTCACTAATCCACTCACCTGTCTTGTCTAGTACTCTTTGTCTGACCTCAACACTCCTCACACGCTGATTCCACATTACTCAAGCAATGCTACGAAGACGTCTGTGATTAAAACCCTATAACCGCTTCGTATCTTCTACTTTTAACGGCCATGTCTCGCAGTCGTACAACAGGACGGAACAAACTGTAGCGCAGTATACTCGTTTTTTGATAGTCGGATCTATCGCCAGTTGACACCACCACAGGTGACGCGAGGTGACAAATCGCAAATGGGCCTTCTTCAACCGAACTGAGACCGTCAGCAACCAACCTGTTCTCGCTGATGCAACTACTCAGGTAAGTGAAGCAGTCGGCACATTCCACCACTTCCCTTCCTATCTTTAAACTAGCAGCAGTTGCAGGCCAGTCTTGGAGCATCATCTTACACCTAACAGGTGCGACTGAAACGAATCCCAAACTCAGACTTCTACTCAACGCGTTCAGAAAACCCTGTATTACGTCAGCATATTTGCCTAGCAGGACAATATCGTCTGCATATTGCAAGTCAACCAAATGACCTCCGGGAAGTAGATCGATCCGTGTGAAGTCAGACGTACCTAAGGTTATGTTCATTACTATGTCTATGACGAAGTTAAACAGGAGCGGTGACAGTGGCATCCCTGACGGACACCACTAGTTGTCGTCACATGACAAATCTCTACAAACCCTGACACGGTTGCGTGAATTCGAGTAGAGAGCTTTGATTAGCGTGACATATTTGTTCGGTACTCCCTTCACAGTGAGAAACTGCCACGCCACATCTCACGGTCAACTGAGTCAAATGCCGCCTTCAGGTCAACAAATATGGAGAATGTCAGCCACTGGTCAGTAGGCTTGCCTGTGTTCCAAAACCTATCGCGAGGTAAAAGTGTGGTCGATGCACCCTAATACAAGTCTGGAACGTGCCTGCTTTTATCGAGTTTTCTGTTCTCGAGTTCCAGTTAGGCATCGGATAACTATGGACCCTCGGATCTAGGACACAAGATTTCTCTCCCTTCTTATAGTCTGGGATAATAATGAAGTACGGCATTGTCTGCGATTCTCATACACTACCTAGAACCTCCATCACTGTAATTAGTAACTTCCTACCTCCATCCTTGAAGACTTCAAGTGGCCAACTGTCAGATCCTGCTGCTTTGTATCGTTTCAGGTTTGATACAGTTTCCTCAAGTTCAAGGAGAGTTGGAGGACGAACATCTACGCGTCATGCAGACTCAGGCTGGATGTTAGGGAAACGAAGCGTTGTTGAGGTCCAGTTTAACTGCGATTCAAAGGGTTCTGCCCAACGTTCCAGCCACCTGTCATGAGAGGTTATCAGTGTTCCATCCTTTTCAGTGGTGGTTTCACTAACCTTCGTCTTCTCCTTACTGGTATCTTCAGTTAGCCTAGATAGTTGTCGAGTGTTATCCACTGCTGAAGCCTACTCCATCTCTCTCGCTTTTGCTACCCACCACTGCTCGTGGTCGACGCGAAGACTCTTGGTCAACTTACGTTTAAGTTGCTTTCGCTGTTCATCGTGGTCAGAACTAGCTGGAATCAGTCTTCTTGCATCGATCAGTTAGGATGATGTCATGGAGATCCAATAAAGTTTGCTAACATTCATGTGTAGGCTACCAATTGTCTTTATCGCTGCAGACTTAATATCACATCAAGTTTCCTTAGGATGAACATTGGTGTCATGTTCAGACAAATGCTTAACCATCTCTTCCCTAAATTCGAAATTGACGTTCTCATCTTCCAAGTGACCACAGACAGGCTTCACGGCTACCTCCTAGTATAAGGCCATCCTCATATCCCGCGTTGATTGGTGTTGGATACTCTTCAGCGAAACTAATGTTTCGCTATACGAAATATCCAAAATACAAATTAACGTGAAATTAAACACCACGACAATACCTTAGTTTTACCCTTACTTCAGTCCTTTTGAAATCCTAACCGAAAGGTCGAATGAAGGCAACCGCCTGCTACGTCTTTAGATGACCATCTACTTCTCGTCAGTCGAACTGAAATAGACATTGACGGATGTTTCACTTACCGACCTTAATTCAACGCCGAACAGAATGATCATATTGTTATCCGTTATAGCTAGAGGGTTGGCGGGAAACTGTCGTAACTGTGACACATGTTGGGACAGCGACCACAGGTTGGTTGGAGCACACACCCGCGCTTAAACGGACGTGAGAAAACTACGGCAACCAGACCATCCCAGGACTGCTTAGTGATGAAAAAAAGAACAGTTATTTCCAGCAATATGCCAGGTGTTGTCGTAACAGAACATCGTTCATTCAGAAGCCTGGTGCGACCCTCATCCTGCTGTGAAAGCGGCGTTTAAGATCGTAACTGAGTCCCAGAAAGCGGATAAAAAGAAATAGTGAACCTAATCAGCTTTCGATCACTCGCGACAGGCGACAAATAACTGCTTTTCTTTTAAACCACGTGACATTTTTAAGGCAAACTAAGATAGCTAAACTAGTGGTACTAGGAGTTGCAGGGAAACACTGAACTGTTGCCTGTATACCTACTACTTCGATGAAACAAAATGTATAAGGTCGATGAGTGAGAATAACTTGGTCACACATGATTACTTATCGATAACTTGAACGCACCCGACCTTAAGTAGCATGTAACAGGGTAGGTGTGGTTTACAGACTACGTACAACTGCATTACACTGGTTTGTGGAGGTGCGTATACTGGCTTTCTCAGTCAAGTAAGCAGGAAAAGCTGCCCAATTTCACCATGAGACCTTAGATAAACTACTTGCATGAGTATTAACTTGAGGGTATTGTATATATATATAATCTAGAGACAAGACTTACTCATATAGTTTTTCATGACTGGTGAACCATCCGCCAGAGTCCCCAAATTGTCATGTTCTTTCAACTCCGTCACCTTGCTGTGGTGAAATTGAATAGTTTGTCCGAAAAGGCACACACCATTGAAGTACCGATGTATGAGGTCACCTGCCTCCGGATTCCCTACCTGAACCATCGCATAGCCAGGTCGAGTCTTCAAGAACTTTATACGTGCAACATTACCATACAAACAGAGAAGGTTGAAGAGATGATCGCAATTCATACGTGAAGGTATATTGCTAGCCATTAACACTACACCTTCAATAACCTCGAAAACTGATAGGTCTGATTGACGAGCAGCTGGAGTCGATATAGAGAGATTTGACGTCGAGTGACCAATCCCAATTCCACTAGTGTTCACTTGATGCACTGGAGGAGGAGTTGGAAGTATTACAACTTGTGATGGAGGCGTAAAGCCACCTCCTGCAGGTGGTCGAAGAGCTTGAACACCAGCAGCTGGTATCATGCTCGATGGCCAGTAGCCTGGATATGAAGGAGCAGCAAATGGTGCACCAGGAGGGACAGAGCCTACTGGAGGAACAAACGGGCTCATCCCGTAGTAACCCATAGATGGTTGGGAATTTGGATAAGGCTGAGCAGGATATACTGGAGAAAGTTGTGGAAATGCAGCAGGAGGTGGTAGAATAGGTGGAGCTGGTGAAGGATTGGAAGCTGGAGCCCCTGGGCCTGCAGGACCCAATAACGTTCGCTGAGTGGAAGAGTTGTTTAGAGGACCCTCCAAGTTACCGCTAGGGCCGGTAAAGTCCCAAGACTCGCTATCATTCTGAGTTACATGAACACGCTGAAGTCGTGAATATGCTACCGTAAGGCTACAGCAACCTGAGTATATATCAGCACCATCTAGTTGTTCCTTGGCTGCTCTGGCTTCCTCCACATTCTCAAATTCAACAAGAGCCTCCAGCGAACGATCGACATTCTTCTTACCAATGAAAGTACGCAATATATTACCATGAGGAGAACAAATTGCTTTAATCACATCAACAGTAATAGGGTAATCGGCATTTGCAATATCTAAGTGTAGAATTCGAGTAGGACCATTGTTATCTATAGCTGAAGACAATTGTTGTGTGTGTTTACGGTCCATAGCAGGAGTTATAATTTCTGACGAAAATTCTAGTCTGACACGATTTGGACCTACACAAAACGGGTTAATCTTCGCCATATGAACAAGTCGAGTGGGTGGCGAGATTTCACAGAATTCAACAAGAGCTGCTCGACCACTGCATACCAACTTTGCGTTCTTAATTTGACCATATCTGCTAAAAAGTCCAATTAAGTCCCTTTCTGTACAACCATCCGGGATATCTGCAACAACAATCGTACAGCTCGGTTGGTTTGTGACTAAGTAAGAAATATCTGTGGCCAGATGAAGGCTGGCCGGAACTGTCCCAGTGGTATTATAAAACTGTGCAGTCGCAGCCGCAAGGACATCATACCTCGACCGTTTCGCAGGGTGCGCCATCTATAACGGAAATTGATGTGGCCGCGGCGAATTGAAACACCTAATCCTTCCAATAATCTAAATTCCAATATCTTTCTCCGAGCTTATGTAACCCATTTGATTTTTTCACTCTCACTTTTCAGGCTTTCAGAATAGTTTCAGGTCTTAGGTGGATTCCGATGCAGCAGGTCTGCCCACTCGCGTGCTGTAGCTCTGGCTAGCCCGACGGGCAGTTGGGTGTTGATTAAATTTGTAGGGTTCGTATGATGTGTCTGAGTGTGGTACCTATGGGTTCCAGAAATGCTATGTTACCAGACACGTGTTAAAACTAGCTGTAAAAAAAGGTGGAGAGGATGAAAAGGTGTCAAGTGAAAACAAGGGAAAGGTAGTGAGAAAAACAAGTCGAACAGAAGCAGAACGAAAGGAAAAGGGAATCTTAGTAGATTCCGGAAAGCCAGTTTGCGGCACTGTAATAAGGAGAGCCTAAGTAAATAAAGTGGAGTGGTGGGGTCAGAGAGGGGATAGTGAGCATGTAAGATTATAGCAGGGATAATGGGAGTGGAAATAGTAACGGTATTAGGGGAGGTGTAGTAACTGAAGGAGACGTCTAATGGCCAAACATGTAGATAAGTCAAGTTCGCGGTGGTTATGGTTGTGCAAAATATTCATCGTAAGGTTGACTGTACCACGACGTACAGAATTGGTTGATCGTGTTAACCCGGTCCCCACCCCGTCTAGACGAGCGTAAGGCATGCGTCATTGTCGACAGAGTTGAGCGACCTTGCCAGGCAATGCGTTCTCGCAGCCGCAGACCTGCGGAGCTAAAAGGCGTGACTTCACAGGGGTTTTCGCCCGTTTACAGGTGGTCCTCCCTGGGTTACCGCGAGGACTGCCACCATAACCGTTCGGTAGAATTCCACTGTTCGGGTGACTGGGATTGCATAGTATTTCGTGTGCCGTTATCAAGCCGTCAAGTAGCCTGTGGTGACTAAAAGATCAGAGCCACGGGTCCCTCAACCTTTCCTCATAGGGATTCTGGAGCACTTCCACAACACCCTCGTAGTTCGCCTCTGGACTTCCTTCGGGAGGGTCATATCTCTTTTCGGGTGTGGTGACGCAATGACGTTGTGGACCTTCAGATGGGGCTGCATACTGACCTAGCAGGACTTCGGAAAGAGTTCCGGGGTAGGAGCACCAAGTCTTATACGCATGAATTGCAGTAATGTGCGGTCTCTTGAGGTATCTCTCGGATATTTGGAGCAGGTGCCTAGCTCGTCATCTTTCTCGGTGGTGATGCGGGAAATATATGAATCACAGACCGGGTAGGATAACTTTCCAGAGTCGGGAGTGGGGAGAGACATGGCTCGGCCTTTATCCAGTTAAGTGCAGGTCCTCAAATTTGTTCGTTACTGACTGTGACTGTGGTTAGAGTCTTCAAATTACCGGTCATCGAAAATTTTTATCAAAATGAATCTGCTTTCAGCAATATAGGCCCAAACAACAACAACAAGCACCAGTCACCAACAATGGGAGAAATCTGAAGGAAGTTGTCTCTTTCACCCACCTAACTAGGCAGCATCGTTTCACCCATAGGCAGCACAAATGTGGACGTCATAGCCAGGATTGGAAAAGCAAGACAGGCCTTCATTAGTCTAAAACCACCGTGGAAATCCAGCGCACCCCACTCAGCATAAAGCGTGAACAAGAAATGGATTTTCAACACTGATTCAGTCAATTTGGCTCTTCCACATGGTTCAAAGACTTGATGTGCTACGAAAAGCATCTCCAAAATCTACAGACATGCGTCAGCAGCCGCCTACGTCAACTCGATACTGAAGATCAGATGGCTACGACAATAAGAATAGGCAGGGAGATACTCTGGCTGGCAACATACTAACCAAGAACCTATAGTCCAACAAACGAGCAGAAGAAGAAACTGGGGATGGGGCTGTTTGAACATATACTGAGACTACCGTTTGGGCCACTGAAGCCCTATGTTCCACTAGGAACCCAGGGGACAAAAACTCGCTACATGCTGCCTGAGGCCGTACAACATTAATTTTAAATTGTGCCCTCCATCCACTTCAGAAGTTAAATCTAGTTTTGCATGATCTCTGTGAACAGCGCAAATTTAATGAATGTTCGCATGTGTTTCAGTTTTATTTATGCTCAGCATTTAATATGCGATGTGCTCTAAAGGGCTGTGCGATTCATTAACTCAAGCGCTGAGCCTCAATCACTATCTCTAGGCTACTGTTCATGCTGAGTGGCAATACGTGTTACTTTTCACTTCCGTTGTGTATTGAAGGGGTTTCTACTGAATGTTTGTCACCAGTGATATCCAAAACAATTGCCTCTCTAAAAAACTATATATGGTGTCACGATTTGTTTTTTAGATTTCCTCAGCCTCATTGAGAATAGTATCTTCTAGCCGTTGTCTGCAAAAGTGGCATGCGTCCGTAAGATCCATTACTCGAAATAGTAATTATTATTGTAACGCATTCTGCATAGTTTGACAAGTGATTTCTGCCAAATCCATCATCAAAAATCTTTCAGTCGTTGGCGGCCTACCATGAAGAATAAAGTTTTTGGCTTCTGTCTCTGGGAATAGTGATAGAAGGCCCAGTGGCCTGCCTTTATTTTTTATAATGGCAGTGCCAAGAAACTCTACTCTGGCTTTGAAAGTAGTGTAACGGAATTTGATCTCAAAATCCCCCTCGATCACGCTATTTGATTGTATTGACATTCATTTTTACATTTTTACCCTCGTTGTGGATGGTGTACCTTTGACCCTAGCCGGTGTGATCTTATTTGGTTGTTTGGCTGTCTTCTTTGACCTTTCACTCAGTATTTGACTTTGTATGATTGAGACTTATCATGAATGTTTCACTTTCCTATCATGTGACGCTGGGCTGTTGACAAGGTGATGTTGTTTTACTGCGCACGACATTTTGTTTTGGTTCAACTTACGGTTGTGCTGTGATTTGACTGTTTTTCTACTGGAAACGTGTATTTGTTTAGTTGATTCTGATAGACAGAGTTTTGATCCCTTTCGTCGAGAATATTCTTATTGACTGTCAGGTATTTAACAGTTGCATTTGTTTAACCAGTTTTACCCTATAGTACGTATCTGCACCTGAGAACGTTTTGGGCTGGATAGTTACCCAACGGCACTGTTGAGGTATTTTTGTAATTTTGATAAAACTTATTGTTGCCTTGACAGTACCACAGATTTTGTTACGAATCTACTACTGAATTACTACAAACTGTGTTTTGATATTTAGATCCAACCTTTGGCTGTGCGTCACTCGAGGAATACCAAAGCCCACAAACTAGCCCACTCACACACAGACGTAGAGCCGATGACACGACGGTAGGCTTGGACAAATCGATGAACTACACTCAAAAACAGGCACACGATCTCCTAAAGGTGGTCTCACTGTCTACAGAAGTGGAAAGCCAGTCCCCGTCTTACCCCGTCACACAGGTCACCCCCAAACCAAGTGCTACGCTATCGACCCAACAAATTACTGAAAACGTTATTATGTCATCACCAGGTGTCACTCAGCCTATAAACATACCCAGCACCAGCCACAAGCACCCTGTTATCATAGGACCGCGCCCAAGCTTAGCGCGTAAACAGTCAAATCTATCCCCACCTCAGCCAGTGCAAAACTTATATGCACCAAATAGGCAGATGATAAAGAGTACAGATAGCACTAGACACTCTTATACAAACCCCACTATGCACCTACCCAGGTTAAATAAACTGCCGAAAAGGCAATCAAGCAGTCTCACCAATAGACGAAAAAACAATACAAATAGTCAAAAGACCATTGCACCCTCGCAAAGTCACACTAGGGAAAATGCCAAACGTTATTTCTCAGGTCATCCTATGACCAAGTCAAATAACTACTCTCCAGGCGACCCACACTTCTTAACACTTCCGCGGTCACTAGCAGATACACATCACCGCCGGACCCCTCAACGATCACAGTTATTGGATAGGGAGCAAAATGGTAGTCACAGACTATGCTTTCCGCCTCACCCATACGCCGAAAGACGTGGGTCATACGCTACACAAGGACAAACTTACAACAGATCCCCTAAAGAAAATCAAGGGGAATATGAATCTGTCTATGACCAAAATGCATACGGCAACCAGCGGACAGGTGTGCCATACAACTTATCAATCCCCGTTACTTCTTATGAACAGGGTTTTTTCGGACAGCCTACGGCTGCAACGCCACCAGTAATGCAGGTGATTCGGATGCTGTCGGATCATCTGCTCTCTACCCTGACCAACAGTCTCTATACCAATCACAATGTAGTGAATACCTCGCTCCTTCCGAGGTAAACAGTACCGAATCGTCACCCTGTACAAAAGGTCATGACATCGCTAGCACGATGTACGCAAAGGACGCCCAAGAAACGTACCAAAGTGCTGACTTTCTCCGAGATATATCTAAACACTTTTGTACTATTAACTCGCTCTCGTTTTGCCTGATTAACGCCCGCTCTATACGCAACAAAATGAAAGAGATTATGCTGCTATCTCTGATAAGTGGTCCGTCCGTGATAATGGTTACAGAAACTTGGTGTACCAATGATATTTGCGACGCAGAGATCTCCATTGACAACTATTCCTTGTTCAGGAAGGATAGACTGCATGGTAGGGGAGGAGGGTGCATTATCTATGTAAAGTCTGACATCACTGCTACGCAGTGCCCTACATCTGAGCTAAACGAGATTGACGACTCAGTATGGATTATCGCAAAACTTACTCGCTCCACTTCCCTCCTAATAGGATGCATTTACCGGCCCCCTTCCTCCTCAGTCGAATACGACGACAAGCTAACAAGCGTGTTCGCCCGTGTGGCAACACTACCACACACAGCGAAAATTATATGTGGTGACTTTAACATGCCAGATATAAAGTGGCGACCAATTAGCTATCCAGAGCGCTTTGATAAATTCATAAGCATTCTTGAAACAGAGGGTTGGCAACAACATGTGGAACA